GAGCATCCTTAGTTTCTTCTAAAGCACTGGCATATTGGTTCTCCGTGAACCATTCCGCCTGAGGCACAGATTCTCCTGAAAATTGCATTTTATCGGTAGTACGTTATGCCAACATATCGATCACAAAAAAACTTGCCAGCTTTATCCAGTGGATAAGAAAAGATGTTTATATTTCGAAACAACGCCGTAATTATTCCCTAAAACTACAGAATAATAGCAAAGTAGCACGTATAGAGACTAAACAGGACAATAAGGCAGTTTCACCATTTACCAAGGATCGCATGAAACTAAACACGACACATAAGTATGGGGAAAATGTAGCGATAACTGACTGAAAAAAGGTATTTTATTACCTGGAGACTAGGTTTTCCAGTTTGTACAATCACTGAATATGCACTTTCATGCGGGGGTTTTAGTTGCTGTCGAGACCGCCTTACAAATGTTATTTTAGAAACGACTCGGAAATTTGGTCTTTCTGGTTCAAAAAGAAACTAGCCACCGCGTGAGAGTTCTCTAGAAAATACCTACTAATCAAAGCGGGTTGGTGTTATCAAACCATGGTGACCGGATTTAATGGGAATCATATCTTAATTGAAATGTTACAAATCGACATACCGCAGAATATCAAATATTGATTACAGCGCTAGTTCGTGGTTGGCACATAAATGTAAAGTGATGCAACGACGCCAAAACAGTGGCAGTGATTACTTGGTTTTGAATGTCTACGAACAACACTGTTGAGTGGCAACTTGACTTTCTAGGATGACTGAGAGCCCGTAGTTATGCTTGTTATACATTTTACAATTTCGCATAAAACCAGAATAAAGCATCTTTGCAATTAACTGTTTTGAACTAACCTCCGAAAAAGTTAAATATACTCACCCGAAGAGTGCTTATTGTGCATCTTTCTGATTGAGGTGACACCTGAAATTTTAATCGACTACTTCTTCGGTAGGAACCAGGTCCCTTCATTTAATGGCACCCTGTGGTTTTCCATAAACATCGATTCTGGTGTTTGCATGACGCTATTTTGTCCTTTCTTTTTTCTATGTGCACACGAAATCACCGCTATTCCCCGAACCATATTGTTTGTGTAACGCTTGGCAACCGCGCCAATATTATTCTATCGTGAGTGCTTGTATTGCACTGGACCTTTTGGGTTTATGGCGTTTTTCCTTTGCCTTGTTGGTCTACCTTTAACCCCAACCCACGGAGGACCTATCTGTTAGTGTCCAATGGCCACCCCGTGCTTCTNCCGCCGTTCTCCCGCCATCGTTCGTCGCCCGCAGGGCCCGGTATCTCCTACAGCTGCGAGAATGCGGGCCGAGGGATATCCTGTCGTGCATTTATGTCCCATCCGCTGCGCTTCGAGAACCCGAAGTACGTTCGCATTACACTTGCAAGTATGACATCGTGATTGGGCGCCTATCCCTTAAATCAGAGTCTTCGATCTCTTCAAGACAGTCCTAATGAACTTTACGATTGGTCTGTGTCCAGATCTCCGGTACTTGACATCAATGGGGGCATTGATGTTCCCTTGAGTCTTTAAATCAACCCCTGTTGTCTTGCATCGGTAAGTGATCTTCAAATTGGATTTTTTACATACCTCGATGTCACATTCGCCTATAACCTGTCCCGATCTGCTCGTGTCGTTAGCATTTTAACAAAATTTCGAAGACTGCCCTTTCACGCAAACGGGTTCAGAGAACTAGCCGTTCCACATGATCTGGGGCTTGAGTTTGTGATTGACTGCATTCTCTTCTATACGTATTCATGACTTAAAAGAAAAAGATTTCACAATATTTCCCAGATTCGTTAACCTTCGTCGCGATACAGTGAAACTGCTAGTTGCTTTGGTTGAACTTTTTGTTTTCAAACGTTTCGACGCTTATGAGACGTTTATTGATAGAATAACATGACCAAGGGCACTGAGCCTTGTCAAGGCCCCGAACTTTCACTAAATAGCAACTCTTTCTTACTCGTAATTTCACGCAAAACAGTGTAATTCCATGTATTGCGCGGCTCTTGATTAATCCTAAGACAATTATCACCATCAGGGAAATATGGTGCTTGAGGGCGGTAGTGTCGAAAACCGTGGAATCGACTAAGCGGACGAAGTTTTATGTACGGGTCGGATGCATGCATTTGGAAAAAACTCAGGATGAATCCTTTCATCCTCAAAGAAGGTACCTCAGAACATTGTTGATAGCTTCGCCTTCGCTCGATTCAATAGCAAGTCTGATCTCTGGGTTTGGTAGTTTGCCAATACGAGCTTATTTTTAAGACCGAATGGTCATTATGACCATACAGTTAACACCTTATCCTTGAGCATACTGCAATAAACATTTTGTTTGCACTAGTGCATCGCATACGCTTTTCGTTATTATCAGGTGTTAAATATCGAGCTACTAAGGACGGCATCATCGACAAACGCGTACATAGAAGAGTCAGACAACGATTCATTAACTAAAAACAGTGGAAGAAAACACGGATCCCCTCGGTACACACCTCAGTATGATGAACAGTCGACGGGGCGAACCCCATGGTCACAAGGACCCGTTGTTCGGCGATGGAACCAGTAATCTAAGCCCCGGGGCTTGGAGTAGCGAACCACATAAGGCTTCGCTAAGTTAGGCGTGGTACTGAGCCGGACGATGGCAGACCTGCCTATCACCAAAGTTGGGCGATCGTTAGTGTTGGATTGCTTCGGTAAGGTTGGTGTTGCCATAGACTCTTCAAACCCACCAGACTGGGGAAGAAAACAAATGAAGTCGAAACCCTTATACCTCTATAACCTTGTTCTGGCTTACTTTTAGTCGAACCTGTTATTGCAACTACCTCTCATGCAATGTACAAAATTGGCTTTCTGTTCCGAGTTTGACACTTGCATCTGTGCCGACTAGAATCGTTCACTTTTGATATCACAGTTTCAGTTTGTACAACCATTGTGCTCTTTCTTGCTGCGCTTATGGTTGCTGTCTTTTGGCTATCCATTTGGATGAAGCAGCAGAAAACAAGAAAGCTGCAAGTAGTCGAAGAAGAAATGGAACTTTAGTAGACTAAAGTTTCACAAAAATTGAGATGCACGAGCGCCACTGTCTCTTACAATGATCCCGAGGTCCCCACCCAGAGTCTAATGCCATTAACAAAACCGAGTCTCCTGGTTTGGGATTCCACACCCTCACGCCAGGTCTTAGTTTCACCGTCCTTGGCTTTTGCCCACCCACTACCTACCTCGGAAAACATCGCACGAAGTGATAATCTATTTGGCGACATGCACAGCACATGCCCCAATCAACGCAATCTATGGAGGTTGGCCACCGATATCACAAGCCATTTTGAAGTGGCGCTTTACTCTGGTATCAGGTGATTTGCCTACCCTCAAAATCAGTCACTGGTTCATCGCCTGAAACTGAAACAGTGAAAGCGGTGTCTACTTTACTTATTTTCATTCGTGCATGCGAAATAAGCCCCTGCTTTCAAAGAAATGCTGAAATGCTTCACTGAGTCTTTTTAGGACAGTCCTCTTACGCCATAGGCAAAGCAATCTGTTTTTATTACACATTTGTATGAACAGTAAACGGGACGAACTTCATCGTCAGTGATGGAAACCAGCAACCTGAGCTCCGCGGGCTTAAAGTGGCGATCAACATAAGGCCCCACTAAGTTGGGCGCATTATTAAATCCGAGTCTGATCCCCCGGTGCCCAGTAGTGTAAAACGCAACTTCTAATCGGTCACTCAAAAACCACAGTAATGGATAACACGGACAACCGTAATACCTTAAAAGGAAACTCCAAGCATTGCTCAATTTCACTCACCAGTACGCCAACGCTTTAGTTCTGCCTCCAGCTTGCTGATGACAATGCGGAGCTTACGCACTCGGTCCTTCTCACGTTCATACCGCCGGCGCCATTCGTCGGCCGTTAACTCCTCGTTAACGGTGACATTATTCTTGATTGTTTTAGCTCGCATACCGAACATGAGAGTGGACTTGGTCTCAGAATCGTTGTAAGCTGCCGGGGAGCAACATATCACCATTGTCGTGCGCGCATTCCCACCGAGAGACTCCTGAAGGATCCGGGTCAGTTTTGAATCTCGGTAGGGCACATGGGACTATAAACGAAAAGATGTTTTTTTATTTCTAACTGGGAACACTGGGAATTATTATCAAATGAAATGAAAGTTTCAACGAAGAGTACCGGGCAGAATAACCAATTTTTCAATGAATTAAAAATAACTTACACTGCCTTCAACAAGAGCGTTGATGACATTTCCAAGAGCGGAAAGAGATTTGTTGATATTCTTGGCTTCGTCTAACACCTGGCCTTCGGCGCCAGTTTTCGCCACTTTTTCACTACCTGCAAGATCCACTAAGTAAAGCTTTCCGTGCAATTTCTTTTGTGTCTCCAAATTCTCTTGTCGAACGGTGATCATGAAAACCGAATGGCTCCGGGAACTGTGCTCGTTCATATCTAAGGGAAGAGGTAAACCGGAACAATTAGGATTGAAAGGGTTCGATAAACACGGAGCTGAATGCAGTACGCCCGATCAAAGGAAACGGCAACTGTAACGTCATGTAAATACATTAGGGATGCAAGACAATTTCAGAATGGTTTTTTATACAATGGATAATTTCATTTCCACATTCATATATAATCTTCGGAAAATCATGAGGTCAATGTTGTGGCGGTGAAAACCCTGATTACGATTTGGAACCAAAATAATATGACGCTATTGTTGTTGTAGATTTACGGCCTTTACAAACAACCATTTGAGGACCCCACATGTGAATCATACGACATGAAACATTAACCAAACTGTCGCTTTGATATCGGTAGTGTTTGAGACCAATACCGGTTAGGTATACACAAATGGAAACCCACAAGACTGCTTTTATTGCTTATATCTAAATGTAGAAGGAACGGATTCATAATGGCAAATTTATACGGCAAGTGAGGGAAAATATGGTGAGCGACTGATGAAATCTTACAGATGGGAGCATAGATCAGCAACAGGCTACTCAATGTGAATNATGGTTACTCACTTGTAACGGCAACATGGCGATTAACCTTGCCTTCATCTATTACATCGAACACCTCTTCGGGACTGGAAACAAATCGTTCCGTTGCGCCCTAGGCAGTGTGACGATGAGAACCGTATCATACCTTAACATAAGGCACCCGATCCTTGTCTTCATGAACTGATAAGTTTGTCTTTGAAACTAGCGGAATGTAAGATCAACTCCAGCACATACCATCCAACAAGTCTCTTATTTTATCCATATAAATTTCAAAATAGGACACCTTGATGTGGAACTCCAGGTTCTCATCCATTTGGTATATGTGGTTGAAAATGTCATGGATGATTCTTGGAATGACTCCTTGAAATACCGGATCACCCAATATTCCCTAAAATTCATTAGACTACTTAAAAACACCTCACCTCCATCGTGAAAGTCTTGCCACTAGAGGTCTGACCGTAGGCGAAGATCGTTCCGTTGTAGCCATTGAGGACATCTGCCACTATGGGTTTAGCAACAATGTCATACACTTCAGATTGTGTTGCTTTTGGTTGGAAGACGTGGTCGAAGTTGAAACTCTTTCCCTAAACAGAAGGGAAGAGGTTAGCCTTCGTCCGGCAGAAAATTGTGGAGTAACCAGGGCTTCTCCAACTCACCCCAAGAGATATACTGCTCTTTCCATCTCCGGGGAAGGTGACAACAAATTTGCTGTCACTGGAAATTTCAGCATCATTTAGGGGCCTCACACGACAGATGACCTTGATACTCTCCGACATGTCTCAACTCTTGCAGTGAGAGGCCAGCGGCGACGCCTATTCAAATGTGCCGCCAATAGCGGGCTGACATCGGTCACGGCCGCCATGATCATTGTGATGCGACGCAACGACTGGAGCTGCTAGTAAATAACTGAATACCATTAATAGTTTCCTATTTAGAAAGTACAAATGATTACAGTTTCAGTATCTGATTCTGATCCTTACACGCACACCTTATTTTTACCGACATCAAAAGCGCAAGTCACAACCTCGAACAGATACGTTCGGTTTAGTTCTATGGACAGCCATGAAGCCCTGAGTTATCACAGGGGTGCGAGGTTACCCCCCATGGTCCCAGATCTTCCTGGTGTCCGAAACGTCTTATAGTCCTCGCTCCCGATTTGCTGGTTCCTATCAAGGTTCTATAGCGGAAGTCAGTTTAGTTCCCGGACGTTGACGGCGGTGTACCAGTTAGTCCAGTTCCTTGCAGCGGTGGACTCCAGCCATCCTTGATGCTGCGGAAGATGAAAAAAAGGATGAATCTTCAATGTTGTGATCGCAAACTTCAGGAGAGTTGAATGTTGACCTCCCACTATCGCACCACTCTCCGGCCATACCATACGGATCAAGGTGGCGTATCCTGACACCGACATCGAACATGTAAAAACCCCGGCCTAAATAATTGGGGAGTTCTAGTGGCAGAATTAGTGATCTAATAATGATGGGCGCGATGAGGATACCTTGCCAACACGCCAGAGTGTTTTATCTTTCTAAAAACGCTCCGACTTTCGCGTTTTTTTTTAAAGCTTGTCTTTTCTCCATTTCAGTTGAGCAGAATTCTATAATAAAACAGTATATTCTCATTATCGATAGATTAGTTTCTTGAAATTTCACTTTATCGACTACATTTTTTACTTTGTTTTAATTGATCCTTAGTTTCCGCGCACAGTTTGGTTGCCTACCATATTTGTTTTCGTCCCGCTAACCGTCGCTTCTGGAACCATGCCCCGCAGTACCATCGAAAAAGGGGGGATTGTTAAATAGACCATATCCAACCCTAACTTCTGAAGAACCTGATCACGAAAACGAGAGTAATTCCATTGATGAAATTTCTGAAACAGGTAAACTCAAAGATTAAATAGTTTTAAGAAACTCACTTTGTTACAGGTCATGAAATGAATTGCAATAGTAATCAAAATGAAGTAGCGTCGACATCTGATAATGGAGTTGTACANGTACATGAAAAAAGTAAATTCGTCAAGTTGCTTGTTAGTGTAATCATTCACAGAATTTTACGCCCGTCCGTCAACTTCTAAAATCAAAGACATCGCCAAACTTCCTGAAAAAGGAATTTTTTTAAAATGCTAAACCATTCATTTTTCGCAAATGCAACTAGCAAGATGCTACGTTATCTGCGGGAATACCATCCGACGTTAATCAAACACCGTCGTACCCTGCTAATATGCCCGTTGTTCCGAAGCAATTCGCAAGGAGGGTGGAGATTATGTGCATTTGGGCTTACGAGAGATCATTGAGAGAGCATTATCTGACAGAGGTTCGTACTCGGGCTGAAGTTAACCATTGACGGAATAAATGTATTCCGAAGTTCCCATCTACAACTATGACCCATCTTAGTTAGGATCAAAAAGCCGCGAACCGCTGTGTTCCTCATCGGTGTTTATTGCGGATACAGTGAACCATGTAACGTGGTGGGCTATTTATCACCTCTCGTGATCCACCCGCGAACTGCTCTTACCAATGGCATCCGTTTTGCCGCAAGTGGAATCACAGTATACATTACCGTAGACTGCATCATTTGCGATGCGCGAGCGTTGGTGCGTCAGATCAATTACCACAGTGGAAATAGTTCGTGTGAGCGATGCATAGCGACGGTCGTCCAAAGTGATTTTTCCATTGTTGGAGCACGAACAGAGAAATTATCAGGATTTACGTTCTAGGCAGGATGAGGCTCCCCATGTTGGTGAATCTCCATTAAGACTTCTACCATTGGACATGGCGAATGTTTTCCCTCTAGAATACATGCACGTAGTTTGTCTTGGATTTTGCATGCGGTTGCTGAATCCCTGGCTGATGGGCCAGAAGAATAACAAGCTAAGAATGAATGGTACACAACTGAAGCAGATATCTGATCGTTTGGACGATATTTGAAGTTATCTACCCACAGGCTTTGAAATATCGTAGTTTTTAATGACTTCGAACGATGGAAGGCATCGGAATTCAAACAATTCTTGTTGTATCTTGGACATGTGGTGCTGCACTGTATCCTAGATGATATGAAATATGAGAATCTTTTGAACTTTTCCATCTGAATGTACATAGTTTGCCCTCCCGGATTTTGCACGTACCATGCCGAGTTTGTTCAAGAAATGATTAGCCTGCTGATGAATCAGCTGGCAGTATTGTATGGCGAGGATGGAGTGATGTACAACGTTCACTGCCTGACGCATTCGCTGAACGACGTGAGATCGAGGGGACCACTAGATAATTATTCAGCGCTCCACTTTGAGTCTTACATGGGGCAGTTGCGAAGAACGGTGCAATCACTGACCACGCCTGCCTCGCAAATATTTCGACAAGTATGTGAGCAAACGATTGATCCGACGTCATCAGCACTGGGGCCTGCCGATGACACCCAGTGCACTCTTATGCGTCGAATTCCCATTAGTCGTAGAATATGAGATAAGATTTTATTCTGTTTCAATAATTCGATACTTCGGATTCTCCTTTGATTTGTCCATCAAAGAGCCGGAAAACGCGGTACTGGTTAATGGACGACCCGCATTTGTCATTGCGTACCAAGGAGACCAGCTAACTGTTCGGGAGTTTGAGAAGACTTCGAACTTATTTGAACTATGTATTCCGTCTTCAGATTTATCTATTATCGTGTTCGATCTATCAAGTGTCGTAGAAAATGCTTTGAAGACGAATGTAAACAGCAAACGTCTCGCTATGAAATGCAAAAGAAGCTTCATTTTCTTATATCTCCTACATACATTTATAAAATGAAGGCAACAACCCCTTATTTATTACTTATTCTTACTTTCATATTACCATTTAGATATTACATATGACGATAAATATATACATATAAATTACTCGAGGATGCTTGGTTGTAAATTGCTGGCGAGTTAGTTTTACTCCTCAATGAAACCACTAAGTGTTGATGAATGTGAATCCTCCTAATTGGCACTTTATTTCAGATGTAAAACGATGAAACAATAGCTACTGTGCACCGAAAGTGGTATAATTCCGATAACAAGGTTCGATGGCTCAAACCGGGCCAACTGTCATCTAAAAAATTGCGTAAACTGTTGGAAGCGGGCCACAGTGCACAAAGTGCATGTGCTGCGAATAACTGGTCAGTTTCGATTGTTAAAACGCTTTATATCGTAGATAACCAATATGAAGAGCGATACCAAGATGAAACGGAGATACCATGCTCTGATGCAAATGAACCCATGGTTGCTAAATCCAAACGTAAAGTGTGAGTGCCTGTGATTAATACTAATGGACTTTCAACAGTGCTCCGATTATCCTATCGGAATTTAAGATGGAATGTCCCACCGTGAGTCAAAGTCAATCATGTTGCCCGCTTTCATCACTTCAGACTAATACACTGACCCTGAGATAAGTAGACAGCAGATTTGATTTATTGCACTCCAGATACAGTTGAATGATAGACCCGGATTATTAATGAACTGCATGCGACGCTGCAAACAAAAGTTTCGCCAGTCAGTGTTCCCTTACCCATCGACAGCGAAGAAGGCTTTGATGCGCTGTCGGACGAGGTAAAGTGCAAAGAGGTCTACGATAAATTCCTATGTTTCCGCGCAGTTTTGTGGCCACACATTTGTCGAATAATATAATATACTGCGGATTTTATCTTTACAGGTGGATCATCTCGTCGCTAGTTGGGGTGACACAATGCGGTAATCAATACGTCTGCTAGTCAGATTTGTGTTTGCCCCGCAACTAAGCAGTTTGAATTTGAATGGCATCCGAGGAAAACGCGCACTGTCTGCCTCAGGCATAACAGACGCAATCATGGGCAAGTGGAAATGCTGATAAACTTTGGAATGGATAAACCTCGTAACGGTTAATTCCATTTATATATATTCCGTATGTAATTGAAAGTTAAATTCCTGTTATTTTTCTTAGACTTATTCGAGCAGTTATCACGTATGAATAAGGGATTGTTCATTTGGAATACATTACAGAAATCGATTATATAGCTCAAATGTGCTTTCGATTATACTCAATTTACAAGTTCCCTAATTTATACTAGTATTCTTTTATATTTCCATTTTTCAGATGACATTTACCGTCATCAGTTCATCAAAGAAGGAAAAGGTTTTTGAAGAAGTTTATTTACAAACATCGATAAACCGCGATTTTCATTTTTGTTCATTTATTACGTTCCTGTATAATAAATTTTTCTACTACATTCTTGGGCGCTTCCTTTGACGGTATGTATTGTTATTGAATAGGCCTTGGGTAGCCGAAGGATTAATCGATAGCACCAAACAGAGAGGTTTAAATGTAGGTCGAGCAGTATAGNGAAAGGTAAAGGACGTACGTTAATCAGGAATCAGCGAGGTAGGTATTTGATTAGTAACATGGGGAGTAGAAAAAAGGTGAAAGAATTGGATGGGTAAAACAGGGCATCTTGGTCGGTGACAGAAAAAACGCGCAAAAGGCTGGCTGCAAATTCGCGTTTCATTCGCGAAGTTTCGCACGGAAAGTTCGCGAGACAGAATTCGACAGATTTCGCTTTGCATTAGCGTTTTTGCTTAAAGGATATGGGACGGAGCAGTAAAAATAAAACCTAAAAGCAATGAATAAGGAGGGAAAGAGTGAAGCAAAAATAAGTAGAATATGGAGGGGAAGAGCAGTTTTTGGAGGATGATGTATTGAAGCTGCCAGACAAGCGACGTTGCTCAGGCGGTTCAATGGAACTTAGACCCTCCCATGCAGAGTTGTGGCGGATCTTAATATCCCTCACCGAATTGGAATTGACTAGTTGTGGTAATCAGAATAGCATTGATTATCGGGAACGAGAAACCCTACTGTAATGCTCAGAACTGGATTGGCTTTACCATTAACTGCGGACACCAATGAAGTACACGAGAAATTGATGGCAACAAACGCTTATGGTTATTGATAGAATTAGAGCATGTTTTATAGAAATTATTAGGCCATATCATTGGTCGAAGGACGATCGTCCAATCATGTAATCGTCTGCGCAGACTCATCACCTGTACTAACTCGGATGTAATTTCCGCCCGGTGTACCATTGGCCGAGCTTTCTGAACTGTGATTGGGCGACATGAAGCTGTACTTGGTCGCGCCTGGAATGCGGTCACGTATGTCTGGATCACCACATTACCTCATAAGGCAGTCTGTTCCAGTCGGTCAGCACCCTAATGGGAAATGCTTGCTGCCTTATTTGGGTGGATACCCTGATCTCAGCTAACTTGAGATCATTTCATCTTAGGTTTGGGTTCTCACTGGGAGGTACTAGCGGTCTCTCTTTTCCCCAGCGCCATTGAAAATTTTTAGTAGTTTGAAAGCCTCAATCAAGACCCCTTCATTTTCTCCTCTCTAGCCTTTCTTCATATTGAAGATTTCTCATTCATAAGAAACATCTAGTGATGTGTCGTTTAGTCTACTTCAGTAATTTTATATCCCCAACTAGATATGGGCTCCAGGCCTGAAGGCAGTGCTCCAGATGGGGACGCACGAATGCCTTGTACAGTTTTAGTACAATCTCAGGTCTTCTGCAGCTCACTGCTCGATTCAGTTGATGGAGAGCTCCCGTGATTTCTTGCTGCTTGTCGACACTGTGCACTTATTGTAAAATCAGCCTGGACCTTAATATAAGAATGATTGGCTTCCTTCGCAACCTCTATTTCTCCACCTGTGCCTGGGGGACCGAGAAATCCATCCTGCCCCTGTTCCTGCTGATCAACGAGTCTTTGGAATTT